AAATAATATATATATTTGAAACAAGTTAAACGTATGTACAATAAAGTATTCACACTATAAAGAATATAAGCACATCATAAACACTATTTATATATAGTTCTCCTCTTCTTGTCAAAAGTCCACTTAGGCCTGTTCAATTACTTTAGAATCTCAGTTGACAAGCTGAACTATTTTCTCTAACACTATCGAAATATTAGTCTGGTGTGATTCATTTACGGTTGTGGTCTCCTTTCTTCTCAAGATCCTATGTTCCTTTTGTCAAAGTGCACTCAGGCCGATTCAATTACTTTAGAATTTCGCTTTGACGGAATAAACTTATTTTTTCTTATTTCCTTTTCCACTGTTAGTTTCACTCTAATATATATCAAACATTAGGCCTATCACTTTTATGTTACTTTACTTCACACCAACTATATTCTCTTTACTTTTATCTGTCTAATACAGTCTGTCTGCTGCTTCCCGCTCATCTCACACTATTTATATCTTTTATTACATAGTCCCCTGGCCACTTTCTATATTCTCGACACCAATTAGTTATTAACAAAACCCTCTACAATCGTCTGCTTTTAACTCTTATTATAACAAAACTTAAAAATAATAAAATATCCACTCACAAGTATAAATTAATCACTAATATTTAAACCAAATAGTCTTTTATATCATGACACTAATCAAATAATGAAGTAACAAGAAATTAGCACTACCTAATCAAATAATGAAGTAACAAGAAATAACCATTACCTAATAAAATAATGAAGTAACAAGAAATTAACACTACCTAATAAAATAATGAAGTAACAAGAAATTAGCACTACCTAATAAAATAACGAAGTAACAAGAAATTAGCACTACCTAATAAAATAACGAAGTAACAAGAAATTAGTAATAACTAATCAAATAATGAATAACAAGAAATTAGTAATAACTAATCAAATAATGAAGTAACAATAAATTAACACTACCTAATAAAATAATGAAGTAACAAGAAATTAGCACTACCTAATAAAATAACGAAGTAACAAGAAATTAGTAATAACTAATCAAATAATGAATAACAAGAAATTAGTAATAACTAATCAAATAATGGATAACAAGAAAT